GTTTACTCTCAGAAGTTCAGGTGAAATGTGTCATATGCTGGTCATGGACTAATTTTTCCACTTTGACTTKCTTCTTAGTGTTTTCTCTTGATTTAATGCAGGGAAGACTTTAAGCTATTGGTGTTTCAGCCCTGGGCACAGCATGCACGAGCTCGTTCGACAGGGAGTCAGGACAATCATCCTCACCAGCGGGACGCTCTCCCCCCTCTCATCATTTACAATGGAAATGCAGATGTGAGTACCTGGATGTGGGAACAGTGCCATTCCTAAAAATACACAATCTGCTCTCATGGATTTAGGTTTTATCTCAGGATTTTAAAGTGTTCTGTTTGCCCAGAGCAGCTGTGGTTGCTCCATCCCTGGAAGTGTCCAAGGCCAGGTTGGATGGAGCAACCTGGGACAGTGGGAGGTGTACCTGCCCATGGCAGAGGGCTGGAATGAGATGAGCTCTAAGGTCCCTTCCAACCCAAACYATTCTGTGATTCTATGGTTCTGGAACTGATAGGGAGTTATATGGATATATATGACTGGGGTCTTCCTTTTATTTCTCCAGCCCTTTTCCTGTTTGCTTAGAAAATCCTCATGTAATCGATAAACACCAGCTCTGGGTTGGGATCATCCCAAAGGGACCTGATGGAGCTGTGCTCTCTTCCACCTATGAAAGAAGGTAATGAACTTCCATGTGGAATTCTCCTTTGAAGTTTTGAGTTCCAACATTTTGGGCTCTGCTCACACGAGGATGCTAGCGAAGTAAGGCATCTCTGTAGTGCTTTTCTTGGATAAATGCTCAATAACAGCACCTTTTAAACACTAACACTGAAAATGTAGTGCTGGAGGTCTGGGAGGGATCAGATACCAAAGCACTGATAGTCCTTGATAGCCCTGACCAGCCATTGCAGGCCTTTGCAATAACTATTTTTATATTTAAAGRTTCTCACCATGCCCAGCCTCTCTTTCACCTCTGTGTTGCCTTCTTAAGGAAAACATATCCAAATATTTGTCAAGCTTTTCATCATCATTTTTCTTGCTCTTCTCTGGTCTTCCATCATTTTGCTTCTGTTGTTCAGAGTTGGCAGTGCTGTTGCCAGCAAAGAAGGCCAAATGTTCCATAGAACTGGAAATGGAGTCAGCAATTGTAATAGATTTTTTCAGAGAAGTAGTAATCTGGAAATCCCTCAGACTGCACTTGTTTATTTAAACAGAAGTTTCATGTGCCATTTCAGTGTATTTCTGTTGAAGGTGCTGTCTTTTGAAGAAGGAGGGTTGGGCATTCCATCCCTCCTGGAACATGGGATTTTTTGAAGGAAAGGGATTCACTGTGTTTTGACAACATTTATATGGTGATGCTGGTATCTGTAGGTCTTACATATGTTAGGTTTTTTCCCTGCTTATGCAATTTTTCTGGGAAAACAGTATACAAAACAGTATACAGGGCACTAAAAGGAAAGGAACATAAAGGCATGAGAGAACAGSTGAGTTTTCAGTCAGGGCTGGAAGAATATGAATATGGCTCATTGCACAGCAGGACTTTTTCAACCAAAGCAAAAGTGATTTATTAAGTAAATAATAACCATAGTAACCAAATCCACCTTTTTATGCCCTGCAGCCATGTAATTCATCAATTATTATTTAAATGGTTGTAGTATTAGTCAAGCAGAGTTTTCTGGCAGAACTCACATTTGTGTTGTCACTATTAATCATAAAGCCTGCATGGCTGCCCATTTCTACCTGTGCCTTTTGAAGCTTTGRAGCTTAGTTCATCTTCAGTACTATCAATAAGAATATTAATAAGAATAGTATTAATAAAGTGTAGCAATGGTATTAATAATTCTTGCCCTTGGAGTTGGTTCTTGCCACAGGAAGGAGAACRATTGGGATCTGGAAATGCTATTTTAGATGAATATCAAAGGAAGTCAGTGTGTATGAKAAACATAGAAAAGGGCATGCAGTGATGTCACTTGCTTTTTCTTCTTTGCAGGTTTTCAGAGGATTATTTATCTTCTCTGGGGAAAACAATTGGTAAGTGAAGTGTGTGGATTTCACAAATGGGTTGATGCCCAGGATTTTTGGAAATCTAAAATAGGCAATGCTAAAGAAGATGCAATAACAGAATGGTGAAAGATTGCAGTGCAGATCTCACTGCTGTCTGGTTTTCTGTGCTTTTACTTGCTTAAGGCAGCTGGCTGCTGTAATAGCACACAAAAATGAGTCCCTGGCTTAATATTTCCCTGTTAGGATTTMATTTTTATTGTCAGGAGTTTCTGTTTGGGTCAAAAATATGGTTCCTAAACGCAGTCAGAAGGTGGCTCAAACTAGAGAATCATTAGCCARACAAGGATGATTTGCAGGGCAATTGAGGATCAAAGGAAATCAGTCTAATTTCTTGTGATATTATAAACTGTGTCAAGTCTGTGTGAAGTCAGCATTTATTGTTTTGGTAAMATTTTATAAATATATTAGAATTGCAATGTTGTAACACATGAGGACAGACTAAACTAAGAGGATTTGTGTAGCTTGGCTGACATGRCTAAATCTGTTAAATCTGGAAATATTTAAAGGAAGTGCTGAAGAAATGAAGGCAATGCTCTGARCTGTTTAGCTTGGCCAAAAAGGTTAAATTAAGAAAATGCTTTCACAGAGTAGTGGGTGTTTCAATAAATTGGTTACTATTTGACTAGAAAACTCAAAAGCAATATGATGGTGCCACATCCATTACTTTGGATGTGTAGACTGCAGTGGACAAGAAGTGGAGAAAAGATCTAAGACTAGCTCCTGCTGGGAAACGTGGTAGGAGTTATTCTGTCCCTTTCATCTACATGGTTTGGTGTGGCTGATAGTGTTAAAAGGGTAAAATGCACTACCCTTTAGAGAGCTGGTTAGGCCTCTCCATTAAAGTTTATACTTTGCCAACATTATTGGATGATTTTAAGAAGTGAAACAACTTCTAATGCACAAACATTCATGTCAAGAAAGTAGAAAATATTTTGGAAGGAGCCCATACTCTTGTTTTTCCTCTGCAGTCTATGTTCTCCATCCCAGGATGAAAATGCCCTCAGCTGCACTCTTGTCTTATCTCACTGCAGGTAACCTCGTGCGAGTTGTGCCCCATGGGCTCTTGGTGTTCTTCCCATCGTATCCTGTCATGGATAAGAGCCTGGAATATTGGAGAGTATGTTCATTGCTCTGCCTTTATTGGGTGGTTTGGCTACTTGCATCAGTTTGTAGTTACTCTACTTAACCATGGTAGTTCAAAACCTCCTAGTGGAAGGTGTCCCTGCTCATGGCAGGGCCTTGGAACCAGATAATTATTAAGGTTCCTTCCAACCCAAACCATTCTGGGACTCTGAAAAATTCTTTGTTAATAAGAAAATTATAAAATCTGGRAAGTAAAATCTCAGATCAGGCTTCTTTTACTTCGATCACAGTGCACTGAAGTGCAGTATTGTAGAAACCAAACTCCTAAGAATCTTAATATAATGTTCCATCTGATCTCACATTTTATTTAGTTCCACCAAACTTCTCTCTATTAAACTTCCAAATTAGAACTAGCCTGAGTGTTTCAACCTTAGGAGAAAAAAATCCCAATATGAGCATTTCTTATTTATTTTTATTTTGTAACCATTGCTTCTGTAACTGTTGTTACTGCTGTGGTCATGAATTGGATATCCCTGGTGAGACTTGCTGAACAGTTCTGGTTTAAATGCTTGTCCTAGGTTATGCTAGGACAATGCTCATTCTTGAAAGTGAAGGCAGAGGTAGAGGTTTCATGCTGTGGGTGGGACTCTGTGAGGTGAGTGCTGAAATTCTCCCACCTGCCTGATGTCTGAGGTGCACTAACTTCAGGGAACCAGTTAGTGCTCTTAGGGGATTGAAAGTTTCTGCTTCCATCTCTTCCTGTGTTTGGCAAGAGAGGAACAGGCTGTGGTGGGGAAGTAGTGAGCGTTTTTGAGCGTTTTTGAGCGTTTTTGATCTTGTGGGCATTTGAAGTGTGTGCTCACTTGGCATTTCTGACCTGCTCCTTCTGTGTTTAACAGGGGCATGATTTTGCCAAAAGAATAGAAGAAGTGAAGCCAATGTTTGTGGAACCCAGGAACAAAGGAAGCTTTTCAGAGGTTGATTATTTGCATTACATACCTCCTTCATTTTCAGAAACCGTTTTTATGTTTAATGACCTTCTCTAAGAAGAGTTTGGGTGTGAAGCACTCAAGTTTTGGCCTAGGGTGAAAGTAAAACTCTATGTGCTTCTTTGAAGTGTTGTTTTCCTGTTCAGAGTTTCCTTCCTTTCCTCTCTTGTCTGCCTGTGCAGGGTTCAGTCTTCATTTAAATCTGGTGATGTAACAGCAGTTAACATACACAAGTGCTGAGTAATCGAGGTGGTGGAAAGTTGTCATTTCAGTAGTCAGCATTTGTTGATGTTCTGCAGGACTTTTCCTCCCAGCTCATCTTGCTTTGGATGTTAAAGAATTGTGTGTCATCCTGTTTATTTATAGCCATTCTGTTTGCTTCTTAGAGTAAATAATATCTGAGAGTTGCTTTCCTGTTTTGTCCGTTGACTTAAGGGTCTGGAGAAACACAGGAGACTCCATCTTCTTGTCAGAAGTATCTGACCTTCATTTTTTTATGCTTACCCAYATGTGTTCTAGATTTCACAGTGATATAAAGATTTTGCTGAGAAAGTGACTTCTCACATTTGCAATTAGTTAAAAGTAAAGACAATTTTACTAAGCCAAATTAATCACAGTTTAGATCTTAGTGTACAAGTCATATTTGGTTAGTGCAGGGTAATACCATTTCTGCTCTTGCTKAAACTTGCTTTATATTTTAGGTTATTAATGCCTACTATGATAAAGTCACCTGTCCTAAGTCCAATGGAGCTGCATTTTTGGCAGTGTGTCGGGGCAAGGTAATGTAACTTTATTTCATCTGAGACTAGATTATAGAATTGATAGAAAAAAACCTTCATTCTGGATTTCAATACATTTTTGTTATTTGACTGTAATTATATGTGGGAAAATACCAAGTACTCTGAAGCTTTTTCAAAATTAGCTCATATTTCCRTATGATTCACTCCTGTTCTTATTAAAGAGACACAGCTCAGATTTCTCTGAAATAGATGAGCACCATACTTGTGTTGGCTGCTCACTGAAAACATAACCCATTAGATGAGAACAGCTATTCTGGAGAGCTGTAATCAAACAAGTTAAAATAACACTGCTGCAAACCAAACAYAATTCTTAGCTTTCAAACGCTTGCACTAACTTCATGTTCCCTGGATACATTTGATGTCTTTTCCTTGGCATCTTCCAGTGCTGTTACATTGATTTATGTTTATTAGTGGAAATATTTGTGCAGTTACTCTTAGAGCCTTTTTGCTGCTGTTTACTGTGTCCTAGGAGAAGATCCAACTTCTTCTGAACCTTTGGTCCCAGTCTCCAGAGAGGCTGTTGGAGTGAAGAAATGATGTAGCTCTCTCAGTTCTCATTGCTRAGATTTGGAGAATTGATTCAGCTGAAAAACAAAACAGCTCCTTTTTTTCCCTTAATTATTTTTCAGTCTGTTCAACTGTTCATTTCACAAAGTGATTTGCCAGCACAGTGAGCATGTGCAGGGGACATGAGTGACAAATACTTGATGGGATGTCAACAGCACAGCTGCTGGACATGGCACTGTAGTCTGGTGAATCTGGTGGCTGTTATTRCTTTGAAATTATTCTATTGTCAGAGAAGGTTTGCTATGTTCCTGTCATGTCTTGTCAACAAGTCAGGGTGTGGAAGGTTTAGACAAAGGTGTTGACACGTTCTCAGTACAGCTGTTCTGCTTACCCAGGAACAAGACAGCCATTAACAGGGTTGGCTGAGCTGTGCTCTGGCAGAGGAAAAAGCTGAGTTTAAACTCTGATAATAAAGGAAAAAAAATCTAGTTGAAACTATTAATAATGTATTGATAAACTATGCTTGGTCAGGGAGTTATTTGAATGGAGAAAGAAGGYCAACAACTGCTGAATCACTCTGAAATGTCACTTCAAACCCTGTTGGTGATAGAAAACTCTGTCCCTGCAGGCCAGTGAAGGCTTGGACTTTGCAGACATAAATGGACGAGGAGTCATCATTACTGGGCTTCCATTTCCCCCTCGAATGGACCCCAGAGTAAATTTAAAGATGCAGTTCCTGGATGAGATGAAGAAAAGTGGTGCAGGTGCACAGGTAAGACTGGGTAGCTTCTCTCTCATGGCTGTTTGTGGTTTCTGCCATTGGTTCTCCCTCGTGTCCCGGTGGGTTTGGGGTTTTGTCATCCTCTCAGCCTCACAGGACCATGAGTATCAGAAATTCAAACAGCCTTTGGAATTTGTCACAAACCCAGTCACCTTTTTTTAATAGYGTTAAGGATTCCAAATCCTGGCAGTGTCAAATAGAGGCCCAAAAAAAAGGTGTAATTAAATTTGAAGTCAAAATCTTTGCATGTGTGTTATCCATCTCTCTTTCTGAGGGATTTATTTCATCCAGAGAGTGTGTAGGCAGGAAGAATGGCCTGTGCTGATTGGTTTGGGGATGTGGTGGTGTGTGTTGGGATTTCTAGGTTTCGATTTGGGTTTCGTTTTCTGTTGCTTCAGGCATGAGAATGAATGTTGTTATAATTTMGTTTTTTCTGCAGATCTTAAAGAGTATGGTGAGTCAGGGCTCTTGAGTGTACCATGAATGAAATAGCCCCTCAAGCTGGACATTGCTACTTGAGTTTTCTGTSCTCTATGAATCAGGTGTGACTTTTGAGTCAGCCTGTATTTGGTTTTCCTCAGCTCTTTGAGATTTGTCAGAACATCTGGCTAATGCTATCCAACGTCTAGTTCATACTTTCTGTTTCTTTAGGGGAAAAAAAATTAGTGAGTGTAGAGCATAGGGAATACATTTTACCTGGTAAATAATGTGAATTCTTCCTCCCACCTTTTGCAGTATCTGTCAGGGCGTGAGTGGTACAGTCAGCAAGCATCCAGGGCAGTCAACCAGGCCATCGGCCGGGTCATCAGACACCGCCAGGACTATGGGGCCATCTTCCTGTGTGACCACAGGTAAACCTTGTCTCACTCAATCCCAGAATATTTTGGRTTGGAAGGAACCTTAAAGCTTATCTTATTCCAACCTCCTGCCAAGGGCGGAGACACCTTCCACTAGACCGGGTTGCTCCAAGTGYGGTCCAACCTGGTCTTGAGCACTTCCAGGGATGGGGCGTCAGCAACATCAACAATTTTATACCCCAACATAAATGTTGATATTTTGTGTATARATATGCTGATGTTGCTGTTTGGAAAAGGCTACAGTTCATAATAATGAAATTATTTTATGTAACAACTTACATAAATATAGCACCACTTCAAGAAAGTAACTGGATTGTTGTGTTCTGCTCCCCAAATATACAGTCTTGGAGCTGCAGAAAGAGATTAATGGTATTCATAGAAAATAAGCAACTCTTTTAGAATTCATGTTTGTAATACTTCTGGAAATTATGTGACAACAACTTATGATTTTGCATTTTCTCCATTTTTCATTTGAGATGGCAGTCAGCAGCACTGCAGTGTTTCAAGAGAAGGAGGATGGAAATGAGGACAGATTATATTACTGAAACAATGCTATTTACATTTATATCCTATGCTAACATTGTACTTCATTAATATCCGTTTCTGCAATGCTAATTAGTATAATATGTATATTATAGGCAACAGGGGTTAAATTGATAGTACATGGTATAAAAAAGCCCTTTTTCTCCTGAGTGAAGGCATCACCCCATTATATTTACTGTACTCTTTGTCTTTTTTTTGTCTTGCTGTTCCTCCCTTGTTCTTTCGGGTACTGAGCTAGGGTTTAATTAATTTAGCCCAACCTGGCAAATAATTCTCAGGTTTTCCCATCCTGCACAGGTTCACAGCTTGTGATGTCAAAAGCAAACTGCCTTCGTGGGTCCGTCCCTACGTGAACRTTTATGACAACTTTGGGCATGCGGTCAAAAGTGTCTCCCTCTTCTTCCGTGTTGCTCAAGACATTGTAAGTGTCTTTAAAAAAAAAAACCCACAAAATAAGCAGCAGATTTCCTGAATAGCATTGGAAACTGGGAATGCTGAGCCAGGTGAGAGATGTGAGAGATTCAGATCTCAAATTGGAAGGGATGCATAAGGATGATTGAGTCTGATGCCTGCTCCTCACAAGCCTGCCTAACATAGAGTCACTTGTCACTTCTAAACACTGGAAGATTTACTGGAAAGGAGATATGCCTCATCTTCCTCCAAAGTGATCTGGGACAGGATGTTGTTCTTACTCTGGGCAACTCATAGGGTTAGATCACAAAAATAACTTCTTCTAGTTCCTCTTAAATAAACATGTATTTATTGGCTGGTATGCAAATTCTGGAACTGGTATTGGCATCTAGAAGCTTTTGACCCCAGGGAGAGGTTATGTTTATGGAAGGATCAGTCATACCTTTMAATTTAAATTACTGAAGTTGATTGGTAATACAGAGTAATACAAACCATCAGTTGTTATTGCAGTTCATCACTGGCTCATCTTTACTAATACAGCTTCTCTCTTAGCATTAAGAAGCTGATATTGTCTGTAATAGTTCCTTAATTTAAAAAGTAATATTGTAAAAAGGCTTCCTAATTCACTGGAGAAAATTATAACAAGAAATGGGCTGGAAGCCAGAATGGGAAATTCTTTGCTCCCATAATGGAGGTTAAGATTAAAATAAGCACTTAAAATTTCATATACAAACTTGGATGACTTCCTGGAAGATGCTTTAGCCAAATACAAATTGTTCAGACTAATAAGTTGCAGATGGATGACGCTGCTGCAGGRCTTGATGGTCTTTTCTGATCATGAGTGAGAGTTTGATGGCAAATCAAAACCAAAATCCAATGTGCTTTGTYGAGAGCTGTTATGCAGAGATAGCATTAGGAAGTGATTGTTCTTTACCAGGTCGTGATCCTTTTTTTTTGGTACCAGGTCATTTAGAGTTAAGCCTGCACTTCAGCTGCGGCACTCCTGAGATGTTTAATCCTTTTTTCAAAAGCACATTAACCCAGTGTGTAACAACGTTGCCACCAAAGGTTATTTGGGGAAAAGGTGATGTTTTTGGCTTATTGCTGAGATTTTTTGTCACAGATGGAGTGGAAAAGTGGCCTTTGCCTCTTGTAACCCTTTGTAAACTGTTTGCAGATGCCCCAACCCCTGCCTCAGTGCCCTCCTGGACATACTGATTCCTTAAGTGAAAGCACTGCAGCACCATCTACTTCATCTGAGCAGACACTCTCCCTGAAAAAGGCAAAAAACTTGGATGACCATGTTCCTAGTTTGAAGAGGAAAAGGGAAGGTATGTTGGRGTCTTCACAGTTGCACCTTTTTGTTTTAAGCTGAACCACAAAAAGGAGCATCAAGAGGCTAGAAACTGAAATGGGAGAGAAAGCAATGAGAGCTCAATGATTAATGTAAGAGTCTGGTCAGAAGGGACATAGTTAAGCGTAAGAAAATGGGGGAAAACTCACCTGTAGTCATAGTGATCATTATATACTCCCATTCTTTTCAAAATGGTGACTTAGTAACTGACTGTTCAAGTAATTTCACAAAGTAATGGAAATACATTTTGAAGGTAATGCCTTACAGAAATATCAAGCTGATACTAATTTAACCCTACTCATAGCACAAAATTATTATGTTTAAACCCTGGATCCTGATTAGTGAGAATATGTAATTTGGGACGTTGGTGACAGTCTTATGGGTATTGATCCTGTGAGAATTGTAGGTTTAAAAAAAAAAAACTGTTCTGTTTAAAAATAACAAATCATGTTTTGTTACCAAATCTCTTAAAAACTCTGAAACTCTGAAACAAAAGTTTTGGGGAAATCCATAAATCTAAAATAATTGAACACAGCTGCTGCAGTAAAACTTTTTCCCAGTGATCCTAAGCCATTTTAAAGTTAAATGTGACCATCAATTAAGGAAAAGCTTGAGAGCAATCTTCCAGGTTGTGGTAACAAATGCTTGAGCAATTTTGGAAGCGATTTATAAAAGCAGTCTTCTTATGAAATTAAATAATGCACTTTTGCAAGATGTGGAAGATTATTTAATTAACCACATAYTTGTGGATTGCTTTGTAAGACTGGGAGCTAACTATCACTGAATCAAAGAAAACACAGGAGAGAATGTGCAATGTTAATTTGTCATCTGTGTTCTGCTGTGGTGGCAGTAAATGGAGATGGAGCACCCAGCCTGTGTGTGGAATATGAACAAGAGTTTGTTTCACCTCGAAGAAAATGTGTTGGGCTCTTGGATGCCTTGGAGCGCACTGAGAAGAGAAGTAAAGATGCAGAGGAGGAAACTGAATTGCCAGGAGAGGAAGAGGTAATGGCAAAATACTTCCTGATAAGTAAAAATTGCAGGCTCTAAAGGAAAATGACTCTGATGTTACAGAGCCAGCTCAACCCTYTTTCAAGAAAAACCCACCATAACCATCACTGGTGACTGCAAGTTCTCATAATTAAATTAATCAAGGGTTTCCTTGCCACATTCATGTTGGTGATCAGCAGGTTAGTGCTTGTTCTGTGCTCCAAGGCTGCTGACCAGGAGGATTCCTGGAAGTTAACCATGATTTCTGAGGAGCAAGGAGAGCTCTCAAAGAAGAGGWTGATAAATACACAATTTGTCCTGGGTATGTCAGCACTTGGTATGAGATCAGATATTGAATTTTAAAAAGGGTGGGGYAGGGTTTATGAATTAGAAATTGCMCTTTCAGATGAAAATCTTTGATTTGCCCCAGAGAAAGAATATTGCAGACTTGTGGAATATTTTGTCYGACTCAAAAACCCACAATCACATTAAGATCAATTAAGCTGCTTCTGTGCTGTTCATTTWCTTTCCTCTTGGATTGATTTTTTTAATACATCAGGGATTAGGCTGTGTCTTTGCTGTCCCAAAATCCCCGTTTGCAGCTGCTGRAGGTGTGTCTCCCTTACCTGGCTGGAGTATTTTACTGCTGGCTTGCAGACTCATGCATGGACTCCAGGAATGCCTATTGCAGCATTCCTGAATACTTTGCTCTGAGTGGAAGGATGCCTAAGGTAAAATGTGGAGGTGTAGGAGTGGCTGGGGAATATCTGAGTTAGGCCCAAGGACATGAATAGAGACACTYACAAAACAGAGGGAATGTACAAAGGGCAGCAAATATTTACCTTGTGTGCAGCAAGCAGGAAATGGGCTCTATCACCCTTTGGGCTTCCATGACAGACACCAAAACCTATTCTTTGGAAAGCCTGGCACATTTCCAGAGCCATGGTAAGTCAGCTACAGTRTGTTCCTAACACAGCTGCAGTGCTTTTGGCAGAGCTCAGCATTTCCTGGAGTCAGATAAACTGATAGACCCAATGGCTTGGCAGTTGCTCAGGTCCATTTTCTATTTGTGTGTTTGGCATTGCTGCTTGTCTGAGGCTTGTGGAGAGCTCTGGGGTCACCCTGTGCTGCTCCAAAATTGGTGACCTGGCCCCAGCAGTCTGGTGAGTGCAGTCCTGGGACAGGCAGTGGCTCCCAGGGCTTTCACTCTGAGTCCAGCACTGAGCACTGGATTTGGACCGAGRATGTGGTTGCTGTCATTTCCCGTCTTCACCATCCAGCACAGTGTGTTATCATTTTTCCTTTTATCAGTTACACTGTGCCCTTATTCCCTAAATAATGAAAGTTCAGCTGCTCTCATTCTGAAAGAATGTGCTTTGTCACCTCAAAAATTCACAACACAAGAAATAATTTCTCAATCCACATAAATAATGACTTAACAGTTCCCCATAATCAGATTTCCTTGTAAGGTGTATGCGTCATGAAAATTTATCTAGGAAGCCTTATTTCTGCTGAGTCATGCTATTCAAGATGATGCCTTTACATAGCAGAGGGCTAAGGAGATGGTTTTAATATTTTTTCTGAGTTATTGCGTGTATTAGAAATATTTGACCTGCTGCTTATCTTCTGATTCTTCATTGCCTTACATACAAGGAGTTCCAGGCAGGAAAGTGAAGGGGAGTGTGAGCCATCACTTACACTCATCTGTGGACACTCTCAGGCTGCCCTGGAACAGTCTGCTGGGAGTTCAGCTTTGCTTAATCAAACTTTGTCTTTAATTTTCTCTGGTATCTCTGAGTTTGTCCAGTAAAATTCTATCCTCTAGAAACAGATATGTGCCAAGGCTCGGTGACAACAATTTAGGTTGACTTGTTTCACTTTTTTGAATGATATCACAAACTGGGCTACCAAGTTTTACTGCTGGAAATACCTAAATTAAATGGTCAATAACTTTGAAAAGCATTTTTTGTACCTTACTTTCTTTTCATCTTCACAGGCACATCATCTGTCCACKCTTTCCCTTCAGTATGAGAAGAGATTAACAGATGAGCAGAAAGGAGGAAGGAAGAAAATAAAGCTAGTCAGCAATACAGTATGTGTTTCCCTGTGTCTGTGCCATCCCTTTGATCTGTAGATTGCTTTAATTTGAATTGGAAATTTCCAGGCAGACAGCTGACTGATGCCAGAACAAGTTTGTTTTTTCTCCAAATTGTAGATATTCATCAGTGCACATCTGAAATCTGTTTGTCATGCTCTTTCCMAAATCCAGACATCCCAGACCAAATGAAGCACAGGTCCATGCAAGGTTAATGGGTGGAAAGAACAGTTTTCTGACASTGCTCTCTTTGTGAACAGCTTGACCGGGGGTGRTGGGTGTTTCATTCTTTTTTATTRKWATGGAGTAGTTCAGTTGGCARGGACCTGCAATGATCAGCAAGTCCAGCTGCTCTGGTAGAGCCTCAGATGGTTAAAGTGACCAGTTTGTGTAAGGGATCACATCCTACCTGCCCTGAGGTCATGGTTGTTATAGCTCTGCAGTTGTGCRTTATTGTTTGGCCCTGTCTCCAAACCCAGTTAGTGAGTTATACAGCTAATTGCATAATAGTCACAATAAATTCAGGAGAATCTCCTGGGTGATGTGTGTGCCAGCAGTTGTCCAAGGTGCTGTCCTAACTGGATGTTCCCTGTCTGCCAATCTGTCAAGCACCTGGCAAACTAAACCGATCCTGAAGCCGAAAATACCCGAAAGGAGAGAGAAGGAAGAGAACAGGTTCATGCTGAAGGTTGTGTTTGCAGTTTGTTGCTATCTGATGTCATAATGACTCAGCTCAGCCTCCAGCTTTGGAGTAAATGTCATTTTATTAACCCTTCTCCTAAGAATAGAATTGTGCAATCATAGTTGGCTCCCTTCTGGAGGAAATTTTCCCTGAAGCCGTCAATTTTGTCAGTGGGGAAGGTGAATAACACGTGGATTATGGGGGTGACTGCCATAATTGCAGCCTATTGGGTGAAAGCACTCAAGGTTTATTGCTGAGCACAGCRGTGCTGCTGGGTGCAGTGTTGGACTTGATGACCTTAAAAGACCTTTTCAACCTCAGTGATTCTCTTAATCCATGATTCCTTTCATTATCCTATGTGCTGTTGGAATTGTAAACATATTGTAACATTGCTTCTGCCTGAAACCATGGGAAAGGAGCTCCTCACGTGTTTCAGTTTACTGAGGAGCCTTCCTGCCTTGCAGAAGGACAGGGGAGCAAAACCAGAAGAGCCCAAGAAGGAGAGGGCCATTTACTACATCACCACGGTGAAGAGAACCCTGAGCCAGCAGAACTAYGACCTCTTCTCAAAGGCTCTGCAGCAGTACAAGGAGACAGATGACTTCCATGCCATGCTGTCCCAACTGAGCTCCCTCTTCACAGAGGATGAAAACAAGCACATCTTTCTGCGAGGTACATTCAGTGTATTTGTATGTCCCTGGTATATTTGTATACGTGACTTTTGTCGTTTAAACAGACTTGGGTACTTCAGAAGTGTTTTGGATGTGAAGTACAGCTCAGTTGGGATGATTCATCACTTTATGTCCCCAGATAAAGCAGAAAAATCCCCTCACTCTAATTATCATGTCTTAGCTCACATCTTGACTTGAAAAAAATAATATTCCATGGAATTTTGTGTTAGTTTAAACTTTATCTGAAAGTACAGCGACTTGTTCCTGGTAATTTAGGAGATGAAGAGCATGGTTATGTGATTTGGAGAGATGCCTTTGTAAGGGTTCATTGTTAAAGAGTAAATAAGTAGACAGACTATACAGAGAAGTTTTGTGTTTAAATAATTGTGAGTATAAAGGATCTGGGCAATCGTGGATAATTATTGCATTAGCTGTTTTTTTGTTGGCTTTTAACAACTGCACTGACGGGAACTGAACGCCCACCAACATTTTTTCTTGTGTAACTGTGTTTTCTGTGTGATTTTTCATTTCCCTCGAATTATGAAAAAACGAGCATATTTTTCTGTGACATTTTCATTTATTGAGATAGTAGGAGCTTAGTTATACATCTTGTAATTTTTTTCAGGTTAAGTCTAAGGTTAAGGAATGGGAAGCTCAGTCAGTTGGTTTCCCAATTTGCTGGTGATCTACATAAATAAGAAAATATTTGATCATTAATCAAGGTCTAAGTCTCATTTTTTTTAAGTGTCAGGCACCTGAAACGTAAAGTTTATGTCTAGGTTTCTGGCTCGCAAGCATTTTTTGGTAAGTGAATACCATGAGATGTAAAATTAACAGTTTATCAGTTATTTAAAGTATCAGCCTCCCAGATACTTGGACCTCTTGGTTTATGAGGCACTGTTCCACTGAKAGGTGAGTTACTTTGTATTTACAGTGAAAAAATGACAGTTTTTACCTACCAGTAATAATACTACTCAAAGTTTGCATGGTAGCTGGCATTTGTGTAATTTATAAGTATGCTTATTGTATAAATATTAGACAAAAACATTCAGATTTTAATTTATTTAGTTACACCTATTTATCTAACCTAAAAGTCTTGCTGCTGTAGGATTTTGCTGCTAGCATTTTTTGCCTGTTGTGGATTGATTATTTTTTTTCCTTTCTTTTTTCCCCCTTTTTCCCTCTCTAATGCAAGACTTTTACCAGTTTGTTCGACCCCAGCATAAAAAGCAGTTTGATGAAGCGTGCTGCAATCTGACTGGAGTGGGCTGTGGCTACAAACCTGAGCACAGCCTGCCAAGGGAGGAGAGGGAGAGCCTGGCCCAGAAAAMGGGTGAGGAGCTTGGTTCATTGTGTTATTGGAAGGACAAATGTCCTTGTTCACACAGTCATAGAGCAGGATGTAGAAATGCAAGGAAATTTAATTTAATCGGTGCTGAGCTAAGTCTCTGCTCCCCATGGTCCTTTTGCTGTCCCTTGAGCTGTGCAGGTGCCTGAGCATTGGTTACTGCAGTTAACAGTGATGTCATTTTGTTTCAAAAGGAGATTTTACTGATCTGTGTAAATCATAGTTTGGGGATTTAAATAACCTTGTGTGTGTCTCCTTTGCTGCCCACATGGTGCTACCAGAATTGTGAATGGGGGCTGACCATATCCCCACAGAGCTTGTGAAATCCTGGAGCAACAAAGTTCTGAAAAAGTGGGGTGTTAGCTCATGATCAGAGAAATAAATCTATGTGTAATCCAGAMTAGTTTGGGTTGAAAGAGACCTTAAAACTCGCCCAGTTCCAAACCCCTGCTTTGGGCAGGGAAACCTTCCACTATCCCAGGTTGCTCCAAGCCTCACCCAACCTGACCTTGGACACTTCCAGGGATRGGGCATCCACAGCTTCTCTGGGTTGCTCAGCTGCTTTCAGCATGGAATGGCATGCTTTCAAGTGCAGCATGCTATGTTCATTCCTGTCTAAATTCTCTGTTAATGGACTGGTTTGATTTAACAGAAGTAAAACAGAGCCAACAGAAAAGTACAATCTCCAAGGCCTCGTGTGCTCAGCTGAACCCTGGGCTCCACCTGAACCAAGGAGGATCCCACTTGGCAAAAGGACTGAACAGTGCAGGTACCCTCCACGTTTRATAAAATCCCTGTTCTATTTCATCACAGACTGTAGGTTTCTATTTCATCACTGACTGYAGTTCTCCTGGTGGGAACCAATGTTCTTTGTGCTCACCTAGCACAGTGGTCACTCTGTAGGTGGGAGTGATGGTAATTCAGAATTTTCAGCAAGGAYTGTACAGAACAAAAGCCAATAAATTAAATCAAGGTGGATGTGAAAGAAACCAGAACAAAACATCTGAAGCCAGATGTTTGTACTGGAGACTGAACTGGGAGAAGGGTGGGTTGAGCACAGGTCTGCTAGGCTTCCTGTTTGTCCAGGCTCCACAAAAGGGAGCCAGTTAAGGAGTGTGAGTTAGGATTACATCAGTATGAATTCAGGTATGAAGAATCTGTTTYATTTTGGTTTTGGTGTAATGYGTGCACACCCCCTCTGCGGACAGCCTGGTTTTTCTGCAGAAACAGAGAATAGTAAACGTAATCTCTGTGTGCATCCCTCTGATCTCGCTCTGTCCAATATTTGTCTTCAAACTCTTAGGCTCATTTATTATTTAGYTCTGGGTTTTCCAGAGAACAGCTGGGAATTCTTGTATTTCTCACACGGAAATGAGTAGGATCATTGGAAAGCTTAGAAGTCTTTCTTTAGAGGACAAAGAATAGTCAAAGGCTAATCCTTTCTTTAAAACAACAAAGAAGCCAGTTTCCTGGAAGGCTTTAAATGCCTTTCATGTATGAAGCTGTATTGTTTMATTTCATTTATTTTCCCATTTTGTTTTGCATTTTAAGAATATTTAAATAAAGCAGAATCTTTAGTAATTGTCTTGTCTTGAAACCACTAGAGTGGTTTCACAGAAACTTGTTTCCACTAAAGTAATGGAGAAAAATAATAGGAGTAAATGGATGTGGTATTTCTGTGGCTCATTCCACAAGCAGAGAATGCTTCTGTGGAAGTAAAGCTCTAGCTCTAGCTAGAAAAGCTCTAGCATACACAGTGAAAGATACTGATTATAAAATTCACTCCCWGATTTTTTCACTTTCAGCAAATTGAATGAAGGCTATGTTTTGAAACTTAATTATSTTTCTCATTCAATAAAGAACTTTTAAAGATCTAGATTCCAAAATATATGGCAGGTTAATTTAAATCAGTTTCTTACATGCCTATAATATGCAAACCAGAACTTCTTCCTCTAAAACATACCAGAAATCAGAGGTTTACATTGTGAATGAAGTTCACTTGGCATTCAGCAGAATGTTCCAAGCTGCTCTTACCTTTTGCTGACCTCCTACATTACTTTTGTGTTCTCTTGAGTGTATTTCAGGTTAGATRGTATTTTTGGACATTGTTTTCCTTTTGGCAGACACACAGACRTGTACACCCTTGTTTGCTCTTATTGTTAAGGGATGAGAAATCTGTACTTTAAAATTGTCCATTTCAGGCCAGCAGAGTTGGCTGACCCATCTATTTAAGATGCTTTTACTCCTTCAGTGGAGCACAAAACCTGATTTATTGCTGACCTCCATGCCTCTTTTGCTCATTCCCTGACACATTTCTCCATTTAAAATGATCAAGGAACTCCTGGAGATGCTAAAAATGATCTCCAGGAATATTTTGCTCCATTGCCATTTCCAGGAGCAGGTCTGGCCATGGTTGGGCAGGTGAGGTTGGCTTTACCACCCTTCAGATGAAATGAGAAGTGGATACAATGAAGTGACCTYTTTGTCTCTGTTCCTCCTCAAGCCCTGCTCGTGTGTTCTTTGTCTCTCAGGGCAGAATGCCACTGCAGCTCCAAGGAAAGAGGCTGAAAAGGCCCCAGGCTCCAGCAAGGAGCATCACCAGGCCCTCAAGACTGCCTATCTCAGTGATGTGCAAAAAGCTTTGGACAAAAATGCTTACAGCCAGTTCTGCAAGGCTCTCCTGGCGTACAAGAAGACGGGTAATTACGACGCGATGGTGTCGGTGATAGCAKCCCTCACCACCGAGAGGCCACAGGACTTTCATCTCCTACAAAGTAAAGGATTATTTTTTTTTTAAATCACTTTTATTTAGTATTTAATTGAAAGGAAAATGTGAGTGTTGTGATCTCATGAGAGGTCTCAGCTTTTGGTTTAACAACCCAGATAAAYGGAGCGGCAGGAACAATGTGTTCAGTGAATGTCATTCAGATAGCAAAAAATGTCAAGGTTCTAAAATGTTCTTTCTGTTCAGTTAGAAATTGTCCATTAAAAACACTATACAAAACCTCAGTATTTCCAGTCCTAACCTTCAGCCCAGCTAACTTCARTCAGATGCTTCCATGAGTGTTTTTCTCCTCAATTAGTACAATTGCTCTTTAGAAAGGGCARTGCTGACTGTTGAACTGACTCAGTTTTATCCCCATGACCAGTGATCACTATACTGGTGCTAAGTTCTTACATCACTTCCAGGTTTTCAGGATAAGCAATCAGACTCTTAATTCACTACTCTTCTACAGAGCTTCCCCTGGAAATAGCTATGGAACTTTATCATAATTTATTTTTTCAGAAGCAGTTTATTTTCCTTTCATGGGTTTAGTGATGGAAGGATTTAAATTTTTTWWAAAWTTTAAGYTGGATTTTATTGTTTAWAGAAAGAAGAGGCATTATATGYTGGTCTTGATGCCTGAATGGTGGCATCTTGTGTAATGAGACACCTCAATTSCACCTTCTCCCATGTCTCTGGAGTGATGCTTCTGCTGGAAATGATGCATTCAGTTTATGCTGGGGAATGCTGACGGAATTTTGTTTGTTATCTTTAGCAGATAACAAGAAATATTTCACTGACCTTRAATAGAYACCATAGTCTGCAAATTGCGAGAAAATACCTTTTTTCTGGTGCACTAATTAGTTAGATTAGTCTTGTCAAAGGGGAGAGTGGGAGGGAAATGAGCTGTGTGACACTGTGAGTCATAATTCTCCCCGAGCGCTGTTTCACAGTCACTGTCTCTACTGAGCAAATGCTTTGACCTCAGAGGACTTTGTGGTAGAATTGTCTGTGCTTGGCAGTAAGTCATAATTAGGGGGTTTTAGAATTTCTGTGTTTGTATTGTGAATCCTTGTCAACCAAACAGTAACAAGAAGAAATTTCCTTCCTGAGAGTCTTTCCGGATATTGTGTGTGTACCTGATGTTCTTAGATTGCTTGTCAGGTGAAGGGCTGGGGCRGCTGCTCATTCTGAGCTGTCAAGAATAGAAGAATTTCAAGATAAACTGAGATAYTTTTCAATACTAAATACTCATTTGCCTTCTGGCGAGGAAAACCCCGTAATTATAAAAATCACAGAAATGTCWATGTTCACCAAGCTGAAGATACTCTGAGGAATCTGGCTGATATTATTCATCTTCCAAAGAATTTCTGCCCTCCAAATCAAGGAGTCTTCCATGGTTAGGCGTTGATTTTCCTATGTATTTGTATTTCCTTTTGGCCAGGGTTTTACATGTTTGTGCGTCCTCAGCACAAAGAGCAGTTCAAAGAGCTGTGTAAGAATTTGACTGGAATGGACTGTGGTGATGGGGAGAAGCAAGTGCAAGAGCCAGAGAAAAGTGAAGAGAAACCCCAGAGCTCGGAGAGCCACGCAAAAGGAATCAGCCACGTACAAGGTAGGGAAGGAACAGTTGTCTGAAGTTTAGAATCTTATTATTGTCATGGGTAGTGCTCAACAGCCTTGAATCATAAAATCACAGACTGGCAGGGGTTGGAAAGGACCTCAAAGCCCATCCAGTTCCACTCCCTGCCATGGGCAGGRACACCTTCCAYTATCYCAGGTTGCTCCAAGCCCYGTCCARCCTGGCCTTGGACACTGCCAGGGATCCAGGGGCAGCCACAGCTTCTCTGGGCAACCTGTGCCAGGGCATCACCACCTTCACAGGGAAGAATTTCTCCCTCATCTCTAATCTAAACCTGCTGTCCTTTGGTTTAAGGCCATTTGCCCTTGTCCTATCACTCCACACCCCTGTGAAATGTCCCTCTCCTGGGCTAGGGCCTCCCTGCCCAAGGCCTGTGAAGGAGAATCAAAGCCATTGGTTATCTCTCCATTGGGTTAAAAAAAATTCACCCAAGCAAGTGTAAGAGAAAAATTAACATGAGATAGGGAAGAGCAAGGAAACAAGAAATAAATTATAGTTCTGCTATTTTTAAGCTATGGAGTGTATTAAGGGTGAAGGCAGAATTTTTGTGTCTAGGTGGGGTGGGAGCAGGAGTGGATCAAGCTCCCCCCTGTAGGAAGAATTTCCACAGAACTCTTTCAGTACTGTTGAATGTGTTAGTATCTATCAAAAACCTCTGTTACCAAGCTGTATGCCATAAAAAAATAGTTATTCAGATCTGATTTTTTTCTTATACACTGACAACTGGCTGAATTTACTGCTGACTGTCTTTTGCAGAGTCTCTGTGTTGTTTTCCGTTGGAATAAAGGTTTATACACTATTTTTTTTTTCTCCCAGATGCAGCCACTTCTAAGAATGGGGCACCAGAGAAAATTCAGAGCAAGATTTCATCCTTCTGCTTTAGTCAGAAAAGTGAACTTGAGCTGCCAAAGACTAAGGTGTCCAAAGAGACTGATTCCATGAAAGCATCCACAGACTCTGGGGTCATGCCCCTCTTTCCCTTAGAGCTGGAACCAGAGTGTGGTAAGTACAAGGGAGGTTTGGGATGCAATTCTCTAATGCTTGGGAATAAAGATAAATTRCAGAAATGAGAATAAGACTGATGGTCTATAAACCCACTGTTCAGTGGCTGTATTTGCTCAGGTGCAGTGTGATTTTGCTGAGTAGAATCTGTACTTTCTGTACCCTTCACGTGCTCTCAGAGTGCTTCATTGTCATTATCACAATGCTGTAATAGTTTCCTGAGAACTTAGGGATTTTTTTTTTCTTGACAACTTCCTTGTAAAGGAAGGATGTAACCTGAGTTCCTACTGGGATCTGAAGCACCAAGAGACTGAGTGAGGTCACTTGAAAGAAATAAGGTAGGGCCAGTTAGTGCATTGTAAGGGTAGATCATTACACTCATGGTCCCTCTTTTCTGGACCACACTGGAAGCATGGATGCATGACCTTTGTAGGTTCCTGATTACAGGAATTTAGTCATTTCCTCCCTCTCTTTCTCTCTTCCCCTCTCCCCACCCTCCCCTATGTTCTAGGAAGATTCCTGTGCTCTAACTGCAAATCCGAGGATGATGTGCCTTCTAAATGCCCATTTTGTGACTTCATATGCTGCAAAACATGCTGGGAACGGTTCTTGAAGGTTCTCTTGTTTATTGTTTTTTTTTTCCTGAAAATGCCTGCAAATTTTGTGCTTTTCAGGAGAATGATGTGAACAAGCCCAGAATCRGGGTTCTTCTGTTTCCAGAAAAAACACACTTGTTCCATTATTTTCCATGGTTTGCAATGTGATTGGAGGTAGATCTCTGCCCTAAACTGCTGTTTTTACACCTTTGCATCTTTCTGAGCTKCCTCCACGTGTTTTCCTGCCTAAAACTACAAAGGCAACAAGCTGTGGAGTCGACTTGAAAAAAAAACTGTGTTGTTTTCTTAATATTTTATTCTTTCTTTAAATTCTTTTTTCTTGCTTGGTTTTATAATTTTCCCCATCAAAATCCTACTGTAAAGCACTATCATGGGAACGAGGCAAATAAGGAACAGGCTGCCCAGAGAAGTGGTTGAGTCACCATTTCTGGAGSAATTTAAGATGTGTAGATGTGGCATTAAGAGGTGGACTTGGCAGTGCTTGGTCAACCGTTTGACCCGATGATCTTTAGGGTCTTTCCCARGCAAATGATTCTGTGAATTTGTGATTCTGAATTCCTGCTCAAAGACCAGCTGTGTCATCCTGTCTGTTGGTTTTCCCAGCTGAGTAAATTGGCGGTTGAAATTGTTTAGGTAAGAGGATGTAGCTGGTCCCAAGGTGCCTGGGTTTGGGAGCATCTTACCCAACATTTGATTCAGCAGCCAGGTGTTAAAAGACTTCCAAAACCAGATTATTGCAAGACTTGAGGGGTTTCTAAGCATTCATAGGTGATAAGAAGGCTGCTGATCAATGGAGCTCAGGAATATCCAAAAACTGTACAGAAGGAAAATGAGCTTTTTCAGTCTGTCAATCTACAAGCAAGTACAAAATAATCAAAATTAAAAGAACACACTGAATTGTATCAGCTAAGCATAGAAAACAGTGTACCAACATCCAAATAAAATAAAATTTCAGCTAAGACAGACTTGGTCCTATGGGAACATAGAATAACCATGGGATCAGGGTGATTTGGGTTGGAAGAGACCTTAAAGCTCCCTGCCATGGGCAGAGACACTTCCACTAGACCAGGGTGCTCTAAGCCCCATCCAACCTGGCCTTGAACACTTCCAGGGATGGGACAGCCTCTCAGCTTCTTTGGGCAACAGAGCCTCACCACCCTCTGACTAAAGAATTTCTCCCTARAATTTACTATAACCTTACCCTGTTTCAGTTTAAAACCATTGCCCATTGTCCTATCACTCCATGCCCTTGTCCAAASACCCTCTCCAGTGCTCTTGGAGTCCCTTTAGGGACTGGAGGAGTCTCTAAGGTCTCCCCAGAGCCTTCTCTTCTCCAGGCTTAGCACCTCCAGCTCTTTTCAGCCTGGCTCCAGAGCAGAGCTGCTCCAGCCCTATGATTAACTCAGCAGCCTCCTCTGGACTCATTCCATAAAGTCCAGACTGMTGTCTCAGACACATCTGCTAGATGGAATTCAGAATAGCTGTTCCTAACTTTCCTTCTCAGTCTGCTCTGTCGTATTTCTTTAAAAATGTTAAAATCCAAAAGTGTTGGGTTATAAGGAACAGACGTAAGAATGCACAGTAAAGTCAAAGAAAGGCATCTCATGTTTGCTGCCGATGGGGCAGTCAGATTTACTGCTGAATATTTAATTTTCCCTTTTGTGCCAAAGTGTAAGGGGGATGAACATCTGACAGACAGCATCTTCCACTTCAGAAAAGAATTTTACAAGCACRTGTTCATAGTCTTTGTCACTTGAGACTCGAGTTGATTAAGGACAGAATGAGCTCCCCAGGGAGATTTTTTTTTGTTAGGCAAGCATTTAGCATCTCACAGCATAGTTATGTTATCTCAGCTAATAAATATTGACCTTATAAATGGGGAAAAACTCACTCCTTTTGCCAGTAAGATGGAACTTGTAATTGTTGTTTCATCAGCTTGAGAACCCACAAAAKTAGAACTGTTGTATATTGAGCAATTGTACTGCCCTGTTCTGGTTTTTGTCTTGAAATTGGTCATTTTGTGGTTTGGATTTCTTCTTAATCCTCAAGTTAATGTGTGTTTTTATAGCTCATAAATCAATGGCAGAACTTGYTCAGCCGAATTTTCTATTAATCACTCTTTTATCTGATTGTACATTTCTTAGAGCACGAATTACAATAGTCTGACCTTCCACATTTAGATTGTGTTTCACATTCAGGTACTTGAGAGTGTCCAGAGGAGGGGAAGGGCTGGAAGCCCCTCCTGGGAGAGGTGTCTGAGGATTCTGGGCTTGTTTGGTTTGGAGGAAGGAGGCTGAGAGGGGTGAGCTCGTGGATCTCTGCAGCTTCCCAGGGAGGRGACAYAGAGAGKGAGGTGCTGAGCTCTTCACCCTGGGATTTTGTGTCAGGATTCATGGGAGCAGTCCAAAGCTTTTATCAGTGAGGTTCAGACTGGATATTAGAGTCTTTTCTATACCAAGAGAATGGTCAAGCACTGGAAGAGGCTTCCTAGAGAGGCCCCAAAGTATTTTAGTATTATAATGCCTTAACTTGTGTTCAGCCCTGAAATGGTCAGGCACTTGGACTACGGGATCATTGTAGGTCCCTTCCAACTGGAAGAGTTCTTTCTATTTAGATAGCCCATGCAAAATCATGTTTGAGGAAATGAGTCATAGGTCATTCATTGTTAATGATTTCCATATTTGCCACTTACCTGAATAATCTTACTTATATTATCAATGACTTCCACATTTGCCACTYAGCTAATTTACCTTACTTGTGCCATACCTTTGAAGTGATGAATGTCCTCACTGTACAGGAGTCTTAATTGACTCATGATGTGATTCAGGTGTTTGGTTAATGAAAAATCAAATACAGAGTCACAAAATTATTATTGTTAGAAGGCACCTTAAAGACTATCAAGTCCTACCATCAACACAGCACCACCACTGTGTTCACCATTAACCCATGCCCTRAGGAGCCATAGCCACACATTTTTGAACACTTCAGGGATGGTGACTCCACCACTTCCCTGGGCAGCCTGTTCCAGTGYATTACTACCCTTTCCATGGATGTTTCCCTGATGTCCAAACCTCCCATATCCTTTTGTTGTTTGGCTGGGCTGATGCAGAGATGCCTCTCCAGTGATGAGGCAGAGCTGTGCTGGTCAGAGGSAAGCACAGGATTACAAACAGGAAAGTTGTCCTGTGTTTTTCCAAAACCAATCCCAAAGGAGCCATCTCCTACCACATCCATCCTCATTCCCACTCATGCCCTGGGAGGTCAGACAGTCGGCTCCATCCGTGTTTTTGGGGTAGGGGTACCTTTACCAGCAGGAAATGAGCAACCACGGCCGAGATCTGAACTCTCTTCAGATGGGATTGGGTTTGTCACCTCTGACTGGGCTGCATTTAAAACTGTTGATTTTCTTTCCTGACAACTTACTCACTGTTTTTTCAGCTCAAAAGCCTTTTGGTGTATCCTGTCACCCCAAGGAAGTGACTCAGGGCTTCATTCACAATGCGGGATTTGCAAATTGTGATCTTGTCCCATTTGTTATTTTAACAAAGGAGTGATAGGTGGTGAATAATTTTGGAAGCTTTTAGAAGCTTTTGGAGGRGATGGAATTCCCTGGAGCTGGAGTGGGATTAGGGGGATTAGTGYTGCTGCATGTTGGGTGATTCAGTGTGTTAGGGAAAGCCTTGCAGAGACTGGGCCAGGACACTGCTCTGGGGTGTAGTTTTCTCTCCAGACCTTCTGTTGCTGCTTCCCAGTGTTTAATACATTGTTTATTCATGCAGGTCTTCCAGGAAGACTGAGTTATTCTCATTTGGCCTATCTATAATACGGGCAGATAATCAAAGATTTCACAACTAAAGGCTACAATTAAAATTGTCATGGGCAAAGCACTGTCTGTTGGGAGATAAGTGACCTTTGCCCTCCCTTTCCATTTATGGTGTTTCAGTTAMTGTCTCCAGAACCAAAATCCTACTGCCTGAGCCTACTTTGCAATCTGCACCTTTTCTTTCAATGGCTTCCTACTGCCAGAGGTTAGATGGGGTATTGGAAGGAATTCTTCCCTGTGAGGGTGGTGAGACCCTGGCACAGGGTGCCCAAAGAAGCTGTGGCTGCCCCTGGATCCCTGGAAGTGCCCAAGKCCAGGTTGGACAGGGCATGGGGCAGCCTGGGACAGTGGGATGTGTCCCTGCCCAGGGATTGGAACCAGATGAACTTTAATGTCCCGTCAAGCCCACACCACTCTGTGATTCTAATGATGAACTTCCACACTGCAGGGAAGCCTGTGCAGTGCTGCTGATGTAGCTGACCATCTTTTCAGGCCCCCTGAGCTGGCAGTCTTCTCCCAAATACTAATTTTAATTTAAGAAAAATGTTATCTCTCTTTTGAAATAAACTGAGCAGTTTCATTTCACCAGTAATTTGCAAGCTATGAAAAGAACAGTTGAGATTCATTTGCAAGTCAAATGACTTTAAAATCATAGATTAGTGAAGAAGCAAATTGAGCAAACCTGAGTGGAGAAATGATGCCTCATGTGCCCTCACGTCTCCTGCTGCTAATGAGAGAGGTGTGGGATGCTGTGAAGAAATAGATGTACTCGGTTCCCCCGCAAARCTCCTGGTGATGACCATGTGTCACCCATGTCCGGGTATGCCCAGGAGACATTTCCTTGTCATCTGTTCAAGAGGAAGCAGGAATTCAGGGAACTCATCAGCCACTTGACAGGTTTTTACTCACAAGTTCAGCTGTACTTCACAAGAGCTCTCGCAGCTCYGCATTTCCTTGTTCCCATATTTCAGTCCTCTGGATGCGTCATAGCTGAGGCAGGTGCTGTAAAGTCTGGTSCCACTTTGCTGGGAGGCTTTTCTTCTTTTTGTTGCTCCCAAAGGCATAACTGACTGCATGGTAACAGGTTACAAACAGCAGAGATCATCTCTGGGACTGAACATGTGTCTGCCATGGCTTGTTGTTCATATTGGACAAAATGTGTTAGAGATATTTAATAGCAGAGAATCACAGACTGGTCTGAGGTGAAAGGGATATTAAAGCTTATTTTGTCCCACCCCTGCCATGGACAGGGACAACTTCCACTAGAGCAGGTTGCTTCCAGCCTTGAATACTTCCAGGGGTGGGGCAGCCACAGATTCTCTGGGATACCTGTGCCAGTGCTTCACCACCCTCAGAGTAAAAAAACTTCTCCATAAAGTTTAATCTAACACTGCCTTGTTTCAGTTTAAAACAATTATCCCTTGTCCTGTCACTGTCTCCCCACACAAAACCTCCCTCCAATTATGGCATTTCATGTACATTATCCATGTGCTCTGTTCATTGATTTCTACAGGTGGTGAAGAAGTGCCCCAAGTGTGACAGTGATGTGAAGAAGAAGCGAGTAATCCAAGCTTTCTTYTGGTCATGATCCCAGCCACAGAAAGGGCAGGAAGCCCTTTGTGCCAGCAGAAGGCAGTGGCTGTGCTCTGGCTGAGCAGGAGCAGGATGGAGTTTCCTTTAAATTTCAGTGATTCTTGCCTCTGGATTACAAGCTCAGCACCAACATGGATTGTTTTCTGACAAAGATGATCAAATCTGAAAGGTCTCACTGCAGGAGACAAAGCAAAACATTGTCCTCTGTTGGAACTAAGAATGTTAATTTTTTACTTACTTAATCCTGTGAGTCCTCCTGTGGCCAGTCTTAGGCTGAAATTTTATATCCTGGAGGCAGCTGTCATTTATGGGCCGTTTATGTAATACCAGCTCCTGGAAAAACCCCAGGAATGCCACTACAATGGAACTGAGCTGCCTAAGGAGGGCAAACTACCATCCCTGCCACACTGGTGTTCCTGGAAAAGGTGATTCACATGCACTGTTTGGGGTTGGCAGCAGCCACTGTCTCCAGTAGCAGAAGATGCTGAAAGGATCATTTTTTACAGATGAATTCCAGTGGTGGATGGTGAGCAAAAGCTCCATCTCATGTGCTCTGCACCCCAAAGCCTGATTCCATCATCCATCGTGGTGGGATTTTTTTGGAACATGCTTCTAAGGAGTCTTTATTCTTCACTCAAAGCTGGTATTTCCATGGGCCTGTGTTATCTGATTTGCTATCCAAGAAGAAAAAGGAACTAAATGATGGAAAACTTCAAACTAAAAAAAATTCTATCCACTCTCTGTGAGTAGTGGGTATAAGTGGTTAACCTAAAAAATTGTATCTATTTTAAGCCTTCCATAGCTACTGTAAATTAGACTTAAAATAAAACCTTTTTGTCTAAATTGCATCTGGTTTGATTTCAAGAAAGGAATTTAGAAAAAARATATAAAAATATTGGATATTGAGCCCTAATGGTCCTGGTACGAACAAGTGGAAAGGTTATACCCTGCAGGTTATTTTCATATCAATACAATTTGGAAAATTTTGTTAATAAAATTTTATCCTTAATTGATAAAATTGAAAAGTGAGCTGCATTTTAATAAAGGTTCATATTTCCCCCGGTTGTAGAATTCAAACCCAGTGTCATTTCAAATCTCAGACTTGCTGGCAGTGAAATGGGAATTTTTGTACTTAATTAACAATTAAAATAACAAAGACTCTGGCAGGAACTGAGGTAATTCTGGACTATCATGTATTCTGTCATGTTTAAATCTGTGARTAAATATTACCTTTTAGCTGTGCATCTATTCAGTGCAGCAAAACAAGAACAAATGATGCAAATAAAGTCCTGGGTGTTTCAAATATAAGTGAGGAAAATGTCAGGAAAGTGTATGTAAATACAGATATGCTGTAAAAATGAACAGAGGAATATTTGGAGTGAGGCTGGGAGCTGTGAGCAGTAAAATGTCATTTATTGGGGGGTAGTTCAGTGCCTGYTCTGCTGGGAAGGTCTCTCCTGGGGAAGCTGCAGCTGACTGCTCCTGCCACTGGAGGGAAACCACAGCACAGCCATGAGCATCTTCAGGATCACTGATACCATGGCTCTGGTCGGGTTTGCTGATGGAAATTATCTGCTGTGGGCTGCAAAAATGCTGCCAGGTCCAGCAAGACCGAAGGAAATACTTTAAAAAGCATGTGGGATTGGCTGAATCAAATATTATCATGCTTTTCTTTCCCTCAGCTAAAGTAGTTGTAAAGTTGTGCTTTCTCCAGGTTTTGTCTAAGGACTGTTCGTGCCTGGGGATGCTCTGTTGTGAGACAGGGCAGAGAAACAATGCTGGGAATATCTCAGTGCCCTCAGGAGATTCACAGAATGGTTGGGGTTGGGAGGGATCTCTGGAGCTTATCCAGTCCAAGGCAGGGTCATCAGATCAGGGAACATGGGAACACATCCAGGTGGGTTTGGAATCTGTCCAGAGATGGAGACTCCTCCACCTCCCTGGGCAGCCTGTCCCAGTGCTCTGCCACCCTCCATGGTGGTTTCTGGTGCAGTGAGGATGCTCTGCCGTGGATCTGGGGATGGATCCCTGCTGTGGGTGATGCAGGCAGGGCAGATAAATGCTCGTGTGTACTGGAGATGGGAGAAGATGACGAGCTCTGAGATCACCCTCAACCCAAACCATTCTGTGATTCCATGAGACCTTGAAGGAGAAGGGTCCCAAGCAATCAGGACTGTTCTGTCATCTGAAAACTTGTTGAATTTACAAGGAGAGACTGAGACAGCTCATTRCTTACAAAGATCAGAAAGTGAAATAGAGAACTGTCAGAAAAATCTGTATTGCTTTAAGTGCTTAGAGGAACTGATGCAAATTAATGCTCGAGGGGACAGAAGCCTGTCCTGGACACTCCTTGCTGWTTTTCGGAAGCAAATGACACATGGGTTACAGATCATAAAGGAAGTAGCTATTAATTTTTTTGTTTCCTCTGCCTTGCAGTGCTATGACTAGATCTGGAACATTGTCTGAAATTTTAGTGACGTGTCATTGAACAAACCTTTCCTGCTGGTTGTTTTCCCACCAAAAAAAAAGGCTGAAAGGACTCACAAGAGAGAACAAAAACAGCAAAGCAAAATGTTTTATCAGGACAGACATGAGCCCTGTCTGCAGCGGGCAAAATTATTGATGGGGAGCAAGGGATTTCTTTGCTTTACAGAATTTTCTTTGAATATTAACAAGAAACCTTATTTTGCAAGAGTAGTTTCAGAAGGTGGTGCTGCTGGACACCCTGAAGTGTGAAATGATGCCCTGTATGGGAAAGTGAAGTCAGAGCCACGGGAATATGATGCTGRATTCCTTTTCTGTGCTTCCTCCACGGGTCAGAGTCCATAGTGAGCTATGTTGTTGCTTTCTGCTGATCAGGCAGTGACCCACAAATCTATTCTGGGAGTTTTGTTGGACCAACAAAAGAACAGACTGAAAAAAGTTAATAGAAGGTCATTGTTCCACCAGACTCTGATCTCCCTAAAAGGTGGAAGTTGCCTGGGGAAGCCCTTTCTGTCTCATTGACGTGATGTTTTGCTCTCTGGGAGTGTCCACCTGACACATTTTTGCCGTTGTCTAATTCACAACAGAAATAATTGTTGATGAGGCATCTCAGTGCAGCGAGGAGCTGCAGACTCAGAGTTTTCCAGCACATTGTGCCCATCCCAGCAGGTGCATGGYTGGGACACAGGGACTGCCATGGGTGCCATCCAGGACGTAGCACCTGCCTTGGCTTCATACACCTTGTGGGTTCCGTGTGAAATCCAGGGAAGGAAAACTGAAATCATCYTTCTGCCCCTGGAGAAGGAAACCTCTGTGGCTCTCAGATGGTCGAGCCTCGGGCAGAGGGATCCCACTGAAACTTTCCAGCTGGGTGAGCCCAGAGCAGGGCTTTCTACTGGGTTCAGTCTAGTGGTGAGTTTCGCCCAAGAAAATAYCCTCAAGGGCTGTGCCTCAGTGCCACGGCAGTGCTGGGAGATTAGCTGATTAATTCCTTAGCTGATGCACACTGACGAAGCAAAGTCCTGGCAGTCCTTGGCTCAGGGATTATGTAAAAATGAGTTACAAATTATCAAGATTGCTTTGGATAGCTACAAGGGATCAAGATAAGCAAGTGRTAAAATTAAAAATAACTTTGGGGTGGTCTGTGAAAAATCAGCCCATCACCTGTTCTGTGTAAAGTGCAAACAAACAGAGCCTCGACCCCATTGTGGGACCAAAGTACTGACCCCACCTTGGCTCCTGCTGGAGTCAGAGGGTTTTCTTTAACCAAGGTGGGTAGAAACTGTTCTTACGAAGGAGTTTTGGATTCCTCCTGACCACTGGGGTTTCCTTCCCCTTCTAGGTAATAGAGAGCTGGGTTTAATTTTCTTGGTGAATGGTGTGTTCAGCTCTTGAAGGTTTGATCTTTAGGAGGATTCAGAATAAACTCCACAAGATTCTCCATCCAYAGCCCCAGTGGCTGCGAGCTGGAGGCAGAAGGCTTGTTCTCCTGCTGGAGAAGGCAAATGCAGAATTGTTAATTCTCTGTGATGATCTGCAAAATGAGCTGGCCGCCGACTCTTGAGGAGAAAAACCTCTACATCTTCTCAGGTCCTCGCTGTGGTTCCCTCATCTTTCCAGAGACTTTGCATTTGYTTCTTGAGCCTGTGCTCCGGGTTTGACAATTCACTGATACCTGTTCAGAGGGAACCTGGCGAGACAGGGCAGGACAAAGTGCAGGAGTCCTGTGTGAAGCACAAGGAACTGGAACACGCACTCACTCCCATGGCTCTGCCAAGGCTGTACCTGCGAGGCTGAGGTCAGTTTTCATTTGAATTCTCAGGGTCCAAGACTTACGGCAGTGTTACGTGTAAGGGATTTAARTGCTGACCTCCTCAGCTGCTGGGTGCTGTCTCACGAGAAGGTAGCTCTAAGTGTTCAGTGTTATACTTGGAGTTGGTGTCATCSTCCGTGCTCCTGAGAGAGGTGAAGCTCTGAGCCGGCTTTAGGAATGCAGAGCCTGAGCACCAACGATGGGGGCAGTTCTGGCAGGGTCGGTGCCCTCGGAGGGCGCGGCAGTGGGATGGGGTCTCGTCGCGGAGCCCCTGGGCAGAGCTGGAAGGATCCTCCCCACCGCTTCCACTGCCTCCAACCACAGCCAGAATCAGCCCCTCTGCGTGCTTTTGGTGGGGCAAACTGTGCCCCGATAGCGAGAGGCAATTGCTGTTAGTGGGAATTATTTGGCATTTCCAGCCGGGGATCAGAACGTTTGTTCGGGAATTTCCCTGCCTTTCCCCTCGCCAGAAAACCGCTCCTCACCAACCCCYTGTAAAACTTACGGAGCTTTGAAAAACTGCGAATCCCACGTGCCTCCTTCCTCCACACAGGTAAATTAACTGTATATCTCGGCAAGAGTCACTTGTAGAGGCAAATGCAGAAACGAGAGCGAAAGCGGCGCTCGGGTGAAGGGAGSGCGCCGGGACGGGAAAGCGGAGCCGGTGCTGCCGCATCGGGGAATTGGGAAGAGCCCGGGGACCGGGACGGAGCCGCGATGTCCCCTCCTCTTGCGCAAACGGGGTCTTTCCCACGGGTATATAAAGGTGCTGCCGGCCGCGGGGAGCGGCGCGGTGCGGAGCTGCGGGGCGGAGGTGCGGTGAGCGGAGCCGGTCCCCGAGAAGGGGAAGGGGACGGGGATGAGGAGGGGGATGGGGAGGAAAGAGAGACCTCGGCTGCCTTCCCACCAGCTCTTGCTCCCCCTCGGGCCAGGGGTGATTTCCCTCCCCCAGGCGTGTCTCGCCCGTGCGTGGATCCTCCGGGAGTGCGGTCAGAGCCTCCCACTCGCAGCCGCTATAAGGCTCTGCTCCGTCCCTGCCCTGGGGAGAGCCGGCATCTCCCTCGGAGGAAGGGCTGACGGGGAGGAAAGCAGGCGAGGAAACCCAGTCTTTCCCATCAGCTCTTCCCTATCAGCTCTTCCCTATCAACTCTTCCCTATCAGCTCTTCCCTATCAGCTCTTCCCTATCAACCCTTCCCTATCAGCCCTTCCCTATCAGCCCTTCCCTATCAACTCTTCCCTATCAACTCTTCCCTATAAGCCCTTTCCCATCTGACTGTTCTAACGCTGGCCGGTTGTTTTGAACCTGCTGCTGCAGAGAGGAGCTCCAGCCCAGCCAGCACCAGCCTCTGAGGAACCCTCTCCGTCTCAGATTCCTGATCCCGGCGCTTGGAAGCCCTCGCTGTGATGCCATCCTGCCACGTGCCCAGTTTGAGGCATCCATCCAAGGTATTGTACCTTCTGCTTGTCAGGCTGGGCACGCATGCTCTGAAAAGGAAAGGGAAGATGAACAAGCTCTSGGATTCAGTCCTGTCCTGAGCATCCAAAATGAGTTAAAGATTCTAGAGAGCACTTTTTATCTGATAGTTTGGAAAACTTCCCTTCTGCTTCTTGATTTGCAAAGGTCTGTCTCGCTGCAAATGAGGGGGAACTGACTGAGGGTGAAAGAGGAGAATGTGCTGGAGCTGCTTCGGAATCTGAATGAGGGAAACTGTGTTGTGAAGGCATCGTAAATGGGTTTGGGAAGGATGCTCCATCACTTGGGATGGCAAAGGAGGGTGAAGGGGAGACATGGGGGCAGCGGCT